TCTGCTTATCTGAGATTTTTCTTGGCCTGCCACTACGGGCCTTAACTAGAACTGTGCCTGTGGTCTTCCATTTCCTCACTATGTTCCTCACAGTGGAAACTGACAGCTGAAATCTCTGAGCTAGCTTTTTGTATCCTTCCCCTAAACCATGATGTTGAACAATCTTTGTTTTCAGGTCATTTGACAGTTGTTTTGAGGCTCCCATGTTGCCAGTCTTCAGAGAAGATGCAAAGGGGAGAACAACTTGCAACTGGCCACCTTAAATACCCTTTCTCATGATTGGCTTCACCTGTGTATGTAGGTCAAGGGTCAATGAGCTTACCAAACAAATTTTGTGTTCCAATAATTAGTGCTAAAGGTATTCAAATCAATAAAACAACAAGGGAGCCCAAATTTATGCACCTGCCTACTTTTGTTTAAGTAATTATTGCACACTTTCTGTAAATCCTATAAACTTCATTTCACTTCTTAAATACCACTGTGTTTGTTTGCTATGTGATATATTTAATTGAAATTGCTGTTCTGAACAACCAATGATTCGTAAAGGAAAATCTTTCCAATCCAAACTTTTTCATACCACTGTACATGTGACAGTGTGGGTTAGTATATGTAAAATAAAAAAAATAATAATAAAACAACAACAACAAAAAAAACACAAAAACTGTGTGTGACGTGTGCAAGTGTTTCGTTTCGTTTGCTCTCTACATTTTAGGAAGCACCTGTGCTCATCAATGCAGAGAAGGAAGGTGACATCACGGAGGAATGGGTAAGACCAGACTTCAGCAAAAGTCAGGCCCAAGCTTCTACACAGTGGGTGAGGAGGAGCTCCAGGTCCAGCTACAAGGAGGAATTGGTGGTGAGTGGTGTGCAATATCTGCCTTGTCCAAAAGATGACAGCAAAGATTAATGCACTTGAAATTGCATGTGAAACGTTTTCCAGGTCACTTTTATACACTCCTTATGGTTCCAGTCTTGATGATAACATATTTATACACTCATAATCATGAAGCACCAAACATAGACATATAAAGCTCCTGAATTTGAAAGTATAATTTAAGTCAATTTGTCTCATATTTGTTTGTGCCCTTTTGTTTCCCAAAAGGGCACAAACTACAGAAAAACGAACGCTGCAATGGAAATGAGGCGAATAAACAGAAACTCCTTCTGGGCACAAGCAGAGGTTTGTCAAATATGTTTTCTGTCCCATCTGCTATATTGTATTTTTGAATGATCATAATGGAATTACGTGTAATGTGTTTTACAGTAGGAGTCTGAGTTTTTTGTTTTTGAGTTCTTAGTTGTTGTAAGAATACTGTAACTTTTTAAATGGTAAGACACTAAAGTTGTAGGATTTTATATTTTGTAACCATGAAATGGCCAAAATACTGAAATTGATGCTTGGTGTGTGTTTTTGTCAGCATGAAGAAAAAGAGAGAAAGGAAGAGGAGAGGAGGCGAGCAGCAGAAGAGAGATGGCGCCTCGAAAAAGAGCGAATTCTAAGGGAAAAAAAGGATGCAGAAGAAAGAGACAGTAAGATGGAGGAGAAATTGCAAATGATTGAGAAGCAGAGGTTGGAACAATGCCTATTTTTTGTCATTACTGCGCTCTACTGGCCATAATAAATTCATTTACCCACTTTCTACAGAATGGATCTTACTCTGATTTGGACAATGACGTTTGGGTGACTAAATTGTACTTTTTTAATTTTCTATTTTTTGGTCCTCCAGGAGAAAACAGACAGAGAAGGAAGAAGAGATGCACAGAAAAGAGAAATTCAAATGGGTGAGTAATCTCCACCGTATAATACTTTTCTAAAAACAAAAAACATAAACATTACTTGTTTAGTGACTTGAGCTTTATACATAAACTTGACAGGTAACTTGCCTTAAACACACCTGATATAAACTGTATATGAACTTATATAAATTTTGTGTCCTCACCTACAGTTGCAGCAGCATAGGGAGCATGAGGAAGATACAGTATGAGGGCTTGTCTGAGGAGGAGCGAGTCCATAGAGAAGGCTGCTGTGAGTTAACAGATTTGTTACATTGAATTGATGTTTTGTCCTTGTCTTTGTTGTAAAATGTATAACTGTCCTGTAGGAGGCAGCAGCATTAGTGTCCCAACGTATGATGAACCTGAGGGAGTTCTTCAGACAGTTGTCTTCATCATCATCTCCCACCAGCCCTGGATCCTCATGTAGTGGTACATGAACTTAACCCTACTACTACTACTGCTGTTGCAGTACACTTACTCTAAGATTTTTTCTTCCAGTTTTTTAAGAGTGTTGTTGTTGTTAACAGTGTTTTTTTTCCTCACCAGGAAAACCATTAAGACGATACCAGCGCAGCTTGACAGACACAGCTTTTATTTACTCCAAGGCAGAGGACAGCATAGCATCCTCCCCCCATTGTCCTCCACTGGTCTCCCCCTTCTCTTTGATTCCTCCTTCACCCATCTACTGTTCAACAACTCCCCCCAAAAGCCCTGATTTCCATCCTGTCACCTCTCCCCACAGACCTACAGCTCTCGCATTACCACCAACATCACCCCTTTGCACTGCTCCTCCACTTGTATTCCTTCCCAGTGATCCACAGGCTAAAGTTCGGACCCACGTTGAGCCCAAAACTCCATCCACAGAACAGTCTGCACCTCCGGCTTCACCCAGCATCATGGAGTCTTTGTCCCAGGGTTTAGTAAAAGACAGCATCTCTGAGTTACATTCAGAAACCCTGCCTGCCTCTCCCCTGAACACCCCAAATCAGCCGGAGCAGATCACCTTTGACTTTGACTGTGATTTATGTCCAATGGCTCCAAGTGTCCCTCTCCCTGATAGACCACATATCAACACAGGTAGCACAGAACCTGTTTATTGAGTTGCACATTTTATTTGTGTCTTTTGAAAGCAAATCTGCTGAGATATGTTTCCACAGCCACACCTTGGCTTTTTACAGTGACTCAGTGTGAGAAGGGCTGCATTCGCCAGTGTGTTTACCAAGAGCATTAATCATATGACATTAAATATTGTTGGATAATTCTTTTTATTACTGGCTTAAAATTATTTTTGAGGCTTCTGCCAAAAGCTACTCCACACAGTCCAGAGTGTGGAGCAGCCAAGACGTGAATCAGAGGCTCATTATACAGAAATGACAGAGCTCAGAATATTTCTATAGTCCAGTCACAATTAAATATTCCTAAAGTAACCGCATACGCCCTTATTGGTGCCAAGGTTAACTGGAATATGCAGCCAGACAGTTTTGTTAGTCCACCACAGACATATCCAAACTTTATAGGGTGTTTTTAAACATATATGCTTATCCTTTGTTCATCATTTAGTGTTCATAATATAATGATTTTTTTTTTATTCCACAGGCCTCACCACAGTGTGCCCTGAGCCGGTCTTAGACACTGGTTTCAAGGTACAGGCTGTTCTGGTGGAGGAGGATGAGGAAGAGGAGCTGGAAGAGAATGAGGAGGAGAAGGCAGACACAGAACCAGAGCCCAGTGAGGTGGAAGTGCAAGAGAAGAAGAAGAAGAGAAGGAGGAGGAAGAGATGGAAGAAAAGGTAGAAGAAGAGAATGAGGAAAACAGAGGAAGCAGAGGGAAGTTTGAAAGAAGACGTTGAGGCTGTGTCAGGGGAGGAGCCAGCGATGGTGGTGAAGGATGAAGGTGGGGAGGAGAATGACCAGTCAGAGGAAGAAAGTCAGGTCCAGTTTGAGCAGTCCTTGATTCTGGTAGGGGAGTCATTGGGTCTGGGCTTGTTCAGGACAACAGTATGCAGGGCAGCAGCTGTGAATGCTCCATCACCTTGGTAGAATCCCCAAAAACTTTAAGGCCTCCTTGCTATTTTTTTAACTGAGTTTCTCTGCTGTTTTTAGGAAATACATATCATTTTGGTTTTTTTTTTTTTAAATGTTCAGCAATTTTCTGAATGGTTACTTTTAGCAGTTCCTGTCATACTGTGCGGTTAAATTTTGTTAGGCAAAATGTGCATTTTATGATCACAGCCCTTCTCAGCATCCATTTTCCTCCCCACCTCAGGTTTTACCAGAGCAGCAAATGTGCGTCCGAGCCCTGTATGACTACCAAGCAGGTAAGCTACCATTTGGAGGAAAACTGCCATGCATGTCCATATAAAGTGCTTCCACGTACAGTAATTACACTGTGATTAGCGGGTCTTCAACATGTTATCTTGTGTTTCCCACAGAGGACGAGTCTGAGATCTCCTTTGAACCCGGTGACATCATCAGGGACGTGGAAACGGTGGACAACGCCTGGTGGAGGGGGTGGAGCAAAGATGGACGCCAAGGCTTGTTCCCTGCCTATTATGTGGAGACCATATAGACCAACAGAGACGCACCATCACACACACATGCACACTCGAGGACACCACCCACAGTCATAATTTACTTCAAGCCTCCTACTTTAACTTTGTTCACTCTACTTTGCAACAAGGATAAAAGATAGTGTGGCTCTTTTTTTTATGATTTTGAGGAAATCACAGTATTCTCAAGTACGCAGAAATCACCCCAGCCTCATTTTCCTGGATAAAACAGCACAGACATTTTTCCTGGAAAATAACTCATTTCCCTTTGAGATACAGTAGGAATGTTGATGGGAGAGACCAGATCATGATGACAAATGATCATAAACCTGCCCCCTGTGTGAAACACAAACAGATTTTATTTTAAAGTCTCATCCTCTTTTTGATCCACACATATAACAAGCATTCCTCTCCTCCTGTTTGCTTTGTGGGTTACATTAGTAAGAAATAATTTACTGCTCTTGACTAGTATACTACAGTATATGCCTGGTCCTAATCCTTAACCCAACTCACACTACACCGTTAAAAAATAATAATAATAACAATAACAATAATAATAATAATAAATGTCCTCTAAATCATGCTTTGCCAAAACCACACAGACATCGGGTAAAATCTGTACAATCAGAACACACAGTTCCCTCCATAGGTGTCAGGTTTATTCTAACATATATGACGAGAAAGTAACAACACAAAAGATGTCTTGATTTTTTACTTGCAAGGGGAGAGTGCAGCGTACTCTTCTGGCAGCTTCCTCATCAACTCCCAGTAGGCACACCCTTCCTCTGCACTTTTATTGAGTTTATAAAAGTATCAGATTACATATCATGTGATCGTGTGTGAGTATATGAATCGGTATGGAGTAAGAAGGTGGGTGTGAATGTGGGTGTGGCTGTGTCTGGTAATTTCTCCATCAGTCTTGAGCACAGATTTTAATATGAGAAGCAAACAGTTTCTTAAAGCGAACAATTCAGTTTCTTCCAAATGTTTTATACAGTACACAGTTATGGAGAAATATCCAGGCCGTGGCAGACCAAGATACAGGCACTCCTTTTTATACTTGTGGCATTAAACAAAGCTGCGTCAATTTTGAAGATATGGAACAATGCGGAACATCTGCACGCCCTTGATATTTCACAACTCTATTCTACACTGGAGCATTACACAAAACACACCCGAATCTGCTCGCCTTGACAGAACTCTCCGCACTGCCAACTGGGACATGCAGCATGGCAAGACACAAAAGAGACACTTTGTAAAAGAAATAATGGAGAAAAGAAAACAATGTAATTCCTTAACCAAGTGAATTAAATCAGAATTCAATTCTAATGTACAATCGGTGAAAGACCAGAACCCCCCCCCCCACATTTAATTTAAATACAGTGGACATACGAGTGTCTCGACATATGAGTATTTTGAAATACAAGCAAACCGCCGAGCAAATTTTTGCTTCGAGATACGAGTAAAGACTCAAATACGAGTAAAGACTCAAATACGAGTACGCTTACAGACACTGACGCTAGGTGGCCGAGCACTCAGAGCAGCCCACGCCGCCTCACTCGTTCACTTCACATGCAATATTCTTCATAATAGTGAATAACACTCTTCCCTCCCTTGCTCCCTCCCTCCTCCTCCTCCACACATGGTGTGCAGAATTACACTACTGTATCGTCTGTCTCAAGGGTAAGAACTCATAATTAAAACCACATTTTATTTATATCACAGAAATCCTTATATACTATAATTTTTATGTGTGTGTATGTCTCTATAGCAATTAAAAACATGTTTTTCTATTGTTATTAGCATTAATAAGGGAGTGTTTTAGAGGGCCGGAACGGATAAATTTTTTTTTTTTTTTGTTATTTCTTATGGGGAAAAATGATTTGAGATACGAGCACCTTGACTTACGAGTTTGGTCCTGGAATGAATTATGCTTGTATCTCGAGGTTCCACTGTATCATCAGTTAGTGCAGAACTGGGCTCACAGGTCAAAATGAGGTTCAAAATGTGATTGCAGGGCTGGTTCTGTATTTGTTTGATGTAGAAGGCTAAGAAAAATAATATAAATTAAATGTAGAAGATTGGCACATTTGACGTTTTCCTCTATCTAGTGGCATCAACTGAAAAACAGTCAATTTGTTATAATGCATGAAACAGAAGGATTGACATCAGTCTTTACCATACCTTGTACCAGTGTTTGGTGGGCCGGATTACGAAGCCCAATGCACAGTATCTGGCCCATGAGCTGTAGTTTGGGGTGGTTTTTATTTTGGTATATGGTGGTTTTGGGTATAGAAAAAACCTTTCAACATCATATCAACCATTAGCTTGTAATATAAAATCTAATGTAATTCCAACTTCACTGCTGTACTGTATGTCTAAGCACTTTACAAAAGAACATTCTTAGGTTACATTTCACTGCTTTTAAATAGCAACCTGAGAATCATGGATTCAGTTTTGCTTTGTGAAGAACACTTTAATTAAAACGTATTGTAGCGGAGTGGTAAAATGAAACGGAGGCAGCTTGGAATCAGCACTGCTGTCGGCCACAGCACACACCAAACCACCGGAGCAGAACTGACCGACCCAAACTCTCAAATCAGTCGGCTTAACAACACGGAACAAAAACACTGACAGACAGTCAGAAAAAGTAAAACACACATAACCAATTATTCCCCAACCGTCACATTGCCCCCACCTAGGTGGTTAGCTGTCCCCAGCAACCTAATTACCCAGTTCATAGTCTCTAAGATGTTGTGGAAGACGGCGCATGCGCCGAGGACATCTAGGTGGTACCGATGGTTGAGGATAGTTCAAATCCCCTGGCTCCTCCTCCTGTGGAGCCAGTGGTTGGTAGGGTGCAAGACGGTGGCGGTGCAGTACCACCACTCGCTGGCGTTTGATAAGGCGCACCCGATACACCACATCCGACAGCTTTTCCAGGACAGTACATGGACCCACCCACTGACTCATCAACTTCGGGGAGAGCCCCTTTTTCTGTTCTGGGCTATACACCCAGACTTGTGTACCTGGAGCAAAATCTGTGCCTCTGCAGCGGGTGTCATATGCGCGCTTCTGCCGTGTTCCAGCATCCACCAGCGCCTGCCTAGTCAGTTCATGCACCCCGCGTAGCCACTCCCGAAGGTTGTAGAAATAATCCAAACTGGGTCTGGTCGGTAGTTCTGGTTTTGGAGGACTTCCAAAGACCACATCAACTGGTGTGCGGAGCACACGCCCATACATTGTCGCGGAGAGTGTACATTTTGTTGACTCCTGGACTGCCGTACAGTAGGCCCACAGGACCAGGGGTAAATGTAGGTCCCAATCTCGCTGCTGGTGGCTGGTCAAGATTGCCAGCTGCGTTGCCAGGGTGCGATTGAACCGTTCAACCAGACCATCACTCTGCGGATGTAGCGGTGTCGTACGGGTCTTCTTTATGCCTAAGCGTCGACATACCTCACCAAACACCTCTGCTTCAAAGTTCTGCCCCTGGTCACTGTGCAGTTCCTTTGGTACTCAAAACCTGCAGAACATCTCGCTGACTAGGTATTCCGCTGTGGTGGTGGTGCTTTGGTCGGGGACTGCGTAGGAGTCAGCCCACTTTGTGAAGTAGTCCATGGCTACCAGGACATAGCGATTTCCCCGATCGGTTACAGGAAACGGCCCAAGGATGTCTACCCCAACACGTTCCATGGGATCGTCTAGTGGGGCCCTTCTTAGCAGTACAAGCGTGACACTGCTGTACATATGACTCTACATCTTGATGACAACCTGGCCAGTAGAAGCGTGAACGGAGGCGATTTTGAGTCTTGGACACCC